ATCATGGTTGACCATGTGGGAGTCCAGCGACGTAACCGCTACACCATCTGCTGGTCCCGAGGAGGCAAGGGGGTTTTAATCATCACCTGAGACCCCTAAGGAGGAGATGCCACCTCAGATGGGCCCAGACCCTTCTGCGGGAGCTGGAGGTGGGTGGAAGACACACCCCTCTCCTGCTAGAGATAGGTACAGATCCCAGAAGTACGTGTTCAGCAAAAGCCCCAAAAGGCCAGTGTAGCAGCCCCCCCCCATTTCCATCTTCCCTGCCCACTGGGAGCCCAAGTGTTCAATTCCAAAGGAGTCAGGGACTCCCTAAATCACCTCACATAATCCCACCCACCCGTCATCTACTGCAGGCTGCTTGAACCAAATAGCCCCACGCCACGACACGGAGACTTCAGACGTTAGGGCTGAGGGAGAGACTGAGGAGGCAACTCTGCAGATTGGCCGTCTACCCATTTCATCTTTCAGCAAGAAAATGGGCCCAGAGAGGACAGAGACTTGCCCGAGGGAAGGAGTTGGGACACCATACGCTGCGCTCCCCACACGCACTAGGCTGGAGCTGGGGCACTCAGCCAGCTCATGGCCCCAGCAGAGAGGATGTGGGGCTGCCATGGAGGGAGGAAGTCCAGCCTCCCACAGTCCCCACAGCCCAGGGACGGCAGGAGAGAGCTTTAGCCATGCCAGGACCAGAGGTGGCTACCTGATCTATTCCTCAGGCCTGGGGAGGCTGTGAACAGGCCCCAGTTGCTTGCGAAGTGAAGCCGGCTCCCGGGCATGGGCTAAGGAGCACTCACAGAACTAGTCCCTTGATCCAAGAGATTTCCCTTCCTGCTTGGAGCTAGGATACGAGGCATTTAGGGGAGTCAAACTGAGAGACACCCCACTGAGCTGTGTGTCCTCTGGTAACGCTCAGCCTCTTTGGGCTTTGCTCCCTTTGCCTATAAGCAGGGTCTGCCTCATAGGCAGCGGAAAGTCCTCCGAAAAAGCGGTGGCCTGCAGTCCCCAGACTGAGCTGTCACTTCCCACTGACCTTTGTCTCTTCTCCTCAGGCTGCGATCACTTTCTCAGCCACCCTTATCTCTCCCTGGGCAGCGTGGGAGGAGACAGGCATGAGTGGGACCTGGCCTCCAGGAGGCGGCTCTGGGCCCCCTGGCCAAGGGGGTGATGTCAGCCCTCTGAGTCACAGTGTGGTGGGGTGGTGGAAGTGGGAGCTTCACCCCACCCCAGAGGTTGACATTCCCTCACGCAAGTCACTCACACACTCTCACCAAGCACACTGTGTGAGCCAGGCTGCACTGGGAGCTGGCGACAGATGCAGGAGCAACCACGGTCCCACGCTTGGTGAACCACATCGCTGCTGGGATACAGCCTCCCTCCCACTCAGGCAGCAAGACTCATGGTCCCAGCCTAGACAGGGGGTGAGAGACACCGTTGCCTCCTCCAGCCCTTGCTCTCCACCCTACTGCCATGCAGGGCCTCCAAGCTCACACCTTTCTGTAGCCCAAGGGGAGCCACTTCCTTCCCTTCTTCGCTGCTGCCCTCCATGGAGAGGAAGAGCTGAGCCCTGCTACTCCTTAGCCCAAGGCTCCATCTCTGCAGACGGCCCCCTGCTCGGAGCCCCTCCTGCTGTCCTACAGGGGAGCCGAGAAGGGAGTGAATGTTGATCTATCCAAGAGAAGAGGAGAGTCGCTGATTATCGGCTGAGTCCCCAGCCTCGGTCAGGCTGGCGCTGAACAATGAGAGAGACAGGGGTGGGGACTCGTTCTCATTGCAGCGGCATTTACCGAGCACCTGCTCTGTGACTGGCGGTGGCCCAGCACTTTCTATGTTTACTCCCCACACTAGAGCTGGACCACGTGCCTGCTCCCTGCTCCGTTCTCCACCCTGCCCTCACCGCCATGGGATGCCTCCTTGCTGTCTGGCTCCCAGCTGGGATAACCAAGGGGAGGCACCAGCAGGAGATGAGAGAGAGGGAGGGAGAGAGGTGGGTACTTCTTCCCTCCCCTGCTTCAGGCCACGCCCTAGCAGGGGCTAAACCCCTCCGCTATCACAGCTTCTTCTGGTGACGCGTCCGTCCTTCGTGGTTGCAGCGACTGTGATCCTGTCACTCCACTTCTCTTGTCTCTCCAGCTGGACATAGGGTGACCAGCCCATCCTGATCATTCCAGAACTGCAAGGTTTTACCACTGAGAGTCCCCTCAGTCCCGGACAGATGGGACAGTTGGTCACCCTAGCTCTGCTCTCTGTGGCTAGACTCTGGCCTCTCTATCCAATGCCTGTCCATCTAGCCCTCTCCACACTTCTGGAAGTAACCCTTTCTTTTTTTAGAGAGATATTTTGCTATGGGGCACATGCACTTGCTAGAGAGAGAGACATAGAGAGACAGAAAGTGACAAATCACATCCCCCGCCCCCCCCACCCCCGGGGAAACGGCCACACCATAATCCTTTCTCCTCCATTCTCCTCCCGGGACCTTGGACATGCACACACATGCACCTGGTGTGAGTGTCAAGCCTCCAGATACAGAACTGGAACTGTGGTCAGCCATGTGGGAGTCCAGCTACGTAACCATTACACCATCTGCTGGTCCCAGTAACCCTTTCTTAGAGTTGATTTCACTCACTGGGTCCTGGCTTCCAAGGTGACAACAAAAAGAGCAATGGTCATTCCAAAAAGGATCATGGCCATGTGCAGCCTACTTGTTGTCTCAGTTGTGCCTGACGTGTGCCCAAAAACGCATCATGTTCCTCATTCGAAACATGGCAGAGGCCACGGCCATGGGCCCCATTTCTAAAGAGTCCACGTCTGTGTGCTCTAGCCGACTAAAGCATGCCACCGTGCGAATGGTGCTGTTGGCAGCAGGACTAGGAATCCTTGGGAGAAGCCCGGGACAATCGGGTGCCCCAGCCCCAGACCTGCAGCTGCCCACGACCTCCACCAAAGCCCAGGTTAGGAGCTGAATCCTTAGTCACCGAAGAAAGACTATCCTTTGGGGGAAAATAAAATGGGCAGTATACTTTTTCTGTAAGTCAAGGTAATTGCCCAATCTCGAGTGAATTCAGCTTCCACCCAGGTCCTGGCAGCACAGTCCCACCCACTGTGAGACCAGCATTTTTATGCATCTCCTTTTACAGGTGAGGGAACAGTCATGGAGCGGCGGAGCCACTTGGTCAAAGTCACATGACAAGAAAGTGGCAGAGCTGGGATTCTCGCCCACCCGTGTCTCCTTCGCAGGAAACTGAGAGGCCTTCTTGGATAATGTTGGTGGAGAGATCCACAGATCTGAGAAAAGGGCTGTCCTTTCCCGAAAGCTAAGGGGGATGGAGGTGCCCTTCTGTAGCTCAGGCTATGGAGTTTGGAGCTGATCCAGGTCCCTGCGGAAGTCTGGAAAGGGGCAAGGGAGAACAACTGCAGGAACCCACGTGCCTCCGCGAGTGGGAGGAAAAGGCGATCCTCCCAGCCTTAACTAGAACCTGGCCATGACTCCCACACTCCTGGCTTCCTGCAGAGCTTCCTGATAGAGAGGAAGAAGTTTCCCTCTTCGTGTTCAGACTAGCCCAGGAGGCGGATGGGAGCCAAGTGGTAAGGGGGTGCTGTCCAGTTTCAGTCCCAAGTCCCATCAGACCCGCAGGTACAAGCTGAGCTAGGATCCCCATCCTGGGTCCCAGGCCAGACCTAGACAGACACAAAGCCCAGGACAGCAGCAGGTCCTAGACTTGCTCAGACTCTGCCTGAGACAGCACCCAGAGCGTTCTGAGAAAGGGATCAAAGGTTTCCAGAAGGAAAATGTGCTGCAGACTTGGGAAGAGGAGCAAGGGTGAATGGGGCTGACCCAGGTCGGGACTAGAACCCGTGATTGCCTGAACTTGACAAAGGATCAAGCTCCAAGAGCTGCCAAAGCATCAGCGGAGGTGGAGGAGCATGCTGAATGGCTTGAAGGAATGCCTGGATACGCTGGTGGGAGGCAGAGTGAGATGTCACAGGACACACTTGGGCGACCATCGATATCTGCACCTTGCCTTCTGGGGAGAACGGCAGGGCTGTGCAGCTCTCGTGTGCCAAGTGAGGAGTGCACAACGGGGCAGAGCTGAATTGCTGGAAGGGGTGGCAGAGAAGCTGCACCGCGTCACAGCAAGCCATCATCTCTGCCCTTCAGCCTCTTCTGTAAATGCCCTTTGGGGTTGTATTTAAGGCTATTGCTTAGTATCAGTGCTAAATTGTTCACTTGCCCTTGTCAAGGGGGTCAGAGGCCAGGTTAAGGCTCAGAGAGGAGGAGCAGAGACGAGGTAACAAGATCTAGGCTTGCCATCCTGCACCGAGCTGGAGCCAGAGCATCACTGGGATGAGACGGGAAGAAAAGACAGGACACCAAGGTCCTGGCCTCAAATTCCCTTTGCCGGCACGGCAGATCTGAGTGAGTCACCGAGGCTGGTCTCTGACCCTAGAGGCTGAGGGCTCCAAGAAAGAAGATCTGGTTCTCGAAGGGAGAGGGATTATGCTGGAGACCCAGGCGTAGACAAAGTAGAAAAGAGACTGGCCCCATCACTTGCCAGGGTAACCTCAGTCCTAGCACAATGCTGTCAATATGGCTTGCACTCAATGAAATGTGTGGGAGGGAAGGAAGGAATGGGAGAATGGGGAGAGAGAGAAAGACCCATCCCGGGACAACTAGATGCTGCTGCTCTTCACAGGACAGCTGGAGAAACAGAGGTCCAGATAGGGGAGGAAGAGGAGAGGAATGGGTTCCAACCCCAAGACTCTGGTCACTGGGCCTTGGGCCTCTCCCCCCACAAAGAACAATATTTGGAACAGGGATTCACTCTGGACAAGCCCAATCAGCAGTTTTTCCAGCTCAGCCTAAGGGTAGTGGAGGGAGGAAGTGAGGAGGCCTGTTGGCTGGGGCATGGGCACTCTGCACTGACTTGGGGTGGGCTACAGACAAATGAGATGCAAACCAGTAATCAGAGCAAGACCGGAGAGCATTCCAAACAGCAGGTTGAGTGAGACTTTATTGACTTTTGCAGAAGTTGGCTGAACTGTGGGCAGTGAACAGAGAGGGCCATGCAGAGCCTGGGATGAAGTGGGAGCAGGGCCAAGTGGGCTCAGGAAGCCAGTAGCTGCCGGGAAGCTTAGTACGTGACAGATGTCTTCAGACTTGACTCGACTGTCTTCTTCAGGATGGTGTGTGAGCTGGAGATGGAGCCAGAGCCAGAGCCAGAGCCAGACACAGAGCAGGAACCCAACATAGAGCCCTGCCCAGAGCCCATGATGACACCGGAACCTCCAGTCACAACACTGGAACCTCCAATCACGATGCTGGAGCAGCCGGACCCAAAGCCGCCTCTCCCACTGGCAAGACCACAAGTGCCCACCAGGCCTCCACCAGCTCCTCCGGTCATAACCGAACTGCCTCCCACTGTGGCTGTCAAAAAATGTGCCAGGGTCACGATGGGGTCACAATGGGTCCTCAACTCCCCATGGTGATCCCTCTCCCAGAGTCCCCTGATACTCACAGATAGTGACTTGGCTGGGACATTCCCCAGACATCCTGGGAGAGAAAGGACAAAAACAGGCAATGCTAAGAAAGATGGCAAAGAATGCATCCCCAGGTGCTTTTAAACCTGTCAGAGCAATTCACCCATCCTCTCAACAGATTAAAATCCAGTCCCTGATTTAAAATCCCTCTCAGCAGAGTTGGTTGCCCTTAGTGACTCGGTGTCAGGAATTTTTCAGAATTTTCATGTGCAAGGAGAGCATTATGCTGACATTCCATCCTCCTCCCTCACCTCAGTCACTTATTCCCAGGTCCCTCCAACCTGTCCCCACCTGTACTCCTCGCCCTCCAGCAGCCTGCGGTAGGTGGCGATCTCCACATCCAGGGCCAGCTTCGTGCTCATCAGCTCCTGGTAGTCACGCAGCAGCCGGGCCATGTCTTGCTTGGCTTTTCTCAGAGCACCCTCCAGCTCATCCAGCTTGGCCTGAGCATCCTTGAGGGCCAGTTCACCACGTTGCTCAGCATCAGCAATGGCTGATTGCAGGTGGGTGATCTGGAAGGGGGAAAGAAATGAGAGCGAAAGCAGCCGTTAAGCCCAGCACAGTCCCAGAAGCATCCGCTGTGGATACAGCTTGAGGGCTGGGGTGGAGCACAATCTCATGCTCAGAACTATCTATAGTCATCCCCCAGGCTCCTCTCATGCTTGCAGACAGTCTTACTTTCTCTGCTTGCCTCCCCAGCAGGTTGAAGTGTCTCCCAAAACTTCCCTGTGGGCCCAGAATTTAGAATTATGACCTTACTTGGAAGTAGAGTTCTTATAGATGTAATGAGTGACGAATCTTGTGATATCACACTGTATTCAGAGTGACTCCTCAAACCAATGACTGGTGTTTTTATATGAGGAAAGGACACAGTGAGGAGAGCCATGTGAAGATGGAAGCAGAGGTCGGGGTGATGCGGCAATAAGCCAAAGAATGCACAGAGCTCCTAGAGCTGCCGGAGATGAGAAGAAGCAAGAAAGGACTTCCAGCGCCTTCAGATAGAGCATGGCCTTGCCAACACCTTGAAGCTCCAGAGATAGAAAAGAGTAAGTTTCTATTGTTTTACAGTGTGTGGCATTTTTATGACAGCCCTAGGATGTTAATCCATCTCCTTGGCTGCTTCCTCAAGTGATCTTCCTTTGTTTCTTCCCATCCCCAATCCACTTTGTGGACTCTCCCCCAGGGTGCTTAAAGCGCTTTCTGTCCTAGAAGATCATTCTCTACAAAGTCTTATCTCGAGGGCCACACAGTCGTTAATTGTTTTTAGGACAGTCTATTTTAAATTCTTTGTCCTATTGTCAGAGCATATCAAACAATGTGCCTCAATTTTTCGTTTTGAAAATATAGTTGCTGGGTGGACCAGCAGTTAGCGTAATGGCTATGTCGCTGGACTCCCATGTAGTTGACCACGGTTCAAGTCCCGGACCCAGTGGCTTAAACTCACGCTGGGTGTGTGTGCATTCGTGCCCAAGATCCTGAGAAGAGAATGGAAGAGAAGGGATTGCAGCGTGGCCATCCCCCCTGGGGGGGTGACTTCTTGCCTTCTGTCTCTCTGTCTGTCTCTGTCTTTCTGGCAAGTGCACGCACCCTACAGCAAAAAATGCCCTTTATTGAATTAAAAAAAAATATATATATATATATATATAGTTGCTGGGGAGTCAGCAGGTAGCGTGGTGGTTAAGGGTGCTGGACTTCCACATGGCCAATCACAATTTGAGTCCCAGAACTGGCAACTTGCTTTCTGGCTTTCTCTCTCCCTCTCTCTCTCTCCTCTCTCTCTCTCTTCCCTTCTCGTTCTGTCCCTCTCTGGTCAAATTTAAAAATAGGTAAATAAATAAATGAAATTCAAAAAATAATTCTTAAAAAAAAATACATTTTATATATATAGTTGCTGTGAGCCACTAGGTGGCACGGTAGTTAAGGCGCTGGACTCCCTCATGGCCGACCATGGTTGAGTTCAGGACCTGACTGCTTGCTTTCTCACTTTCTCTTTCTCCCTCTGTATCTCTCTGGTCAAATTTTAAAATAATAATAATAATAAAGTTAAATAAATAATTTTTTATATAGACACACATACACACACATAGTTGCTTGGCCAGCAGGTGGCATGGTGGTTAAGGAACTGAACTCCCACATGACTGACCATGGTTCAAGCCCCAGACCTGGTGACTTGAAACTCACACCAGGCATATGTGCATGCATGCCCAAAATTCCAGGAGACAAATGAAGGAGAAGGGATTGTAGTGTGGCCATCCCTCTTGGGGGATGATTTCTCACTTTCCTTCTCACTCACTTTTTGCCCTATGGCAAAATCCTTAAATATATATATATGGGGTTGTCAGAAGGTCATAAAGTATATTTTTCTATGCAAAAAACGTCATGACTTTTCTGACAACCCTGTGTGTGTGTGTGTGTGTGTGTGTGTGTGTGCGTGCGTGTGTGCAGTTGCTAAGACCAGCTCTGTGGCACAACAGTAATGTGCTACTCAAAGGAAGCTGAGCCCACATGGCAGCCATGGTTCAAATTCCTAGCCTAATCGGCCTGAAACATGCCAGGTACATGTGCAAGTGCCCAAGATCTGGAGGACTGTAGGAAAAGGATGGCAGCATGACCAGACAATCAAATAAAAATCTTCTAGAAGGATAAGATCCCTGTCTAACTGGCCTTACAGTTGATTTACTCTAACATATGATTCAGGAAAGGAGGAATTTCCTGAAGACTCTCACTATTCTAATCACGCACAAGTGCCCTATGGATGAGAACTATCTCCACTCCGTATAAGGAAAAGTAGGGTTCAGAAAGGGATGCATGCCACGGCTGGGATCCTGTCCCCTACCTCAGAGCAGCAGTTGTCTGTTTCACTGGGTCTGCCAAGGGGAGCCCGGTTCATCAGGCATGTGCAGGAAAGAAGGACTCTTTATCCCCCAGAAGGGGTATGGCTGTGTGTGGAGTGCTGTGCTTCCCAGGCCTGGGCACCTGGAAGACCTTGCTAAGTGCAGGGCCCTGGGGCAACAGATGGATAACAGTATCTGCTCACATTCCTCCCAGACCTGTGTCTCATTCCAAATGAGAGCCAGTCAGGAGGGTTTGGATAAAGTCCAACCATTGAATGACCTATGCATGGACCAAGAAACCCTCCCAGGGGCCCTGCTTGGAGCAGGTGGCTGGCTATGTGTGATTTGGGAATCAAGCTGCCCTGCTGAAGGGAATCTGACTCTGTGGTCTCTGCTTTCCATCCTCTATTGATCCCAAACTTGATGCTGTGGGTTTGAGGAATACGAGTGCGAAGATACCAGATAACGTAAGACTTCATAACCCTTCACATCTAGAAGTGAGGTCTCCAGGAACAGGTAAGTATCTCTCTGGAAGCATCCCCTTCCAGAACAAAGCAAAGCATCTACCTAAGGAGAGATCGGTCTCCCCAGCTGCCCATCTCGCCTGCTCTCTGAGGCCCTGGCTCTCACTTTACCTCACAGGAGACCACCATATCATGTTTGGCCTTAAAGTCCCTGCTGGGCTTGAGGAGTAAGGATCAAAGAAAGAGATAAGAAAAAACGATAAATCGACCTCTCCCCAAGGAGCTGAAAGCAAGATGCGGCCTGGGCATGGACTGCGATGTGAACAGTCCCCCTAGGGTTGTGCAGGGCAATGATGCTCTCCCACGAGGGCCAATCTACAAGCTAGAATTCTAGGAGGAAGGTGGAATTCACCCTAGATGAAAGGGCTTGAGGTTCTCTCCACCCCAAAGTATCCAAAGCTCCAACTAGTTAACAAGGTCTTCACCAACAGCTCTGCATGGGGAGAAAGCAACAACTCAGTGTGGGGAGAGGTGAAGAAACAATGGCAGTAAGGGCGGGGAGGACTCTGGGACCCTCACCTGCTTCTTGAGGTTCTCAATCTGACTCTCCAGCTTCTGTATCATTTGGTGCAACTGGGAGATCTGGACCTTGGTCTCCTTCATGCTGTCCCCATGAAGCTGGGCAGATGTCTGGAGCTCCTGGTACTGAGGTGAGAACTCACCGTTAGTTGAGAGGACAGCCACAACCATGGGAAACATCATCCCCCGAGTCTGGAGATGACTCCCCACATCGTCATTCGGAATGTGGGTCACACAGTTAAGACCAGGACATGGTGGGATATGTTTGCAGAAGCCCAAGCTCCCCCTCCAGTTTCCTGCAATGGCCTCCCTCCTGAAGATGAGAAGCAGCCCCGCACATCCAGCCCCGATGTGGGCATAGAGACCCAGCCGTTCCTAGCAAGAGCTGCCCCCGGCCCGGGCACCTTGGTCTGGTACAGCGCCTCGGCCTCAGCCTTGCTGGTCTGGGCGATCTCTTCATATCGGGCACGGACCTCGGTGATGATGTCGCTGAAGTCCAGGGAGCGGTTGTTGTCCATGGACAGGACCACAGACATGTCGCTGTCCTGGGTCTGAAGCTGGCCTAGCTCCTGCAAGGAAGACTCACTCAGTGTCCACCCAGCCACCGGCTCCCTCTCCTCTTGGAGCCCCAGGCGGGTGGGCAGGATGTCTGAATCTCTGCCACTCTCCTTCACTGGCTGCCCCAAATCATGCTGGGTGGCACTGGGTGGCACTCTGTGCTGCTCTGTGTTCTCATTTAAAAATGAGGACGACGGCCACAGTGACGCAAGCAGGAGGGTGCTACTGTGCAACGGCTGGGGCTTTGTGGGAGGCCCAGGATGGGTTCCTGGCCCAATCTGGGAAGGCAGGTGGTGCACCTGTGGTCCTGGCTGACCAGGAGGCTGGAACAGGGGATCACAACACAGTGAGAGCCTGTCAAAGATGCCCCCCCACCAGAAAGAAAGAATAAAAGAGCTCTCTAATGACTCTTATGTAATGTCAGCCTGGAAAATGGCCTGTAAGGCCTGCAATCAGCTGGTCACACTGCCCTTGGCCTACTCCTCTCTCTGTGACTCCCACTGCTCCAGCCATATCGGCCTCAAAGACCCCAGCACGCTCCTGCTGTGACTGCATCTCTGCTGGGACTCGCACGCCCACCTGCGCGGTGGGTGTCTTCATCGCCTTCAAATCTTTGCTTCCCTTTGATCTTCTAAAGGAGGCCTGCCCTCACCACCCTTCTGAAATTGCAGGCTGCCCCACATTTCCAGCTCTCCTTTTCTTGTTCTATTTTCTTTTTTTCTAAAGCATATATCACCTTCCAACAGACTTGTAAGTAATAAGTTTATGTACTAATGCCAAGCCTATTGCTTATTGTCTGTCTCCCAACAGAAAGCAGGCTTTGTGATTTTTATATGGTTATTCACTGTTGTATCCCTAAGTACCCAGCAATCCACACAGTGAATTCTCAGTTATTGATTGTCAAATGACTGAGTGCCAGGGAACCTAAGCCACCCTGCAGGTCTCCCCTCCAGGCCAATCCCCAGTGGCCACAGGGAGCCTACCCGCCCTCTCCCACCCTTTACTCCCATTTCCCCTTGACAGAGCCTCACTTCTTCATACACACGCTTCAAGAAGGTGATGTACTCTCTCAGGGCCTCCAGCTTGCCATCCAGCTCCATCTTGCTCAGGAAAACCTCATCCACATCCTGGGGACAGGGAGACACAACCTGTGTATGCCCCACTGCCCCCTGGTGGGCTGGCTCAGAACCACTGCCCGACACCCACCCACCACTGTCTCCAGAGACACCCCTCCTTCTCCTCCAGCCCGCCCTGCCCTACTCTCTCCTCTGTCCACTGCCTTCAGGAAACCTTCCCTGATTAATCTCAACCAGTTCCGCTTCCTCCTCTTGCCCCTCAGCCTCTCCTGCAATGACTTCCAGAGCTACGAAGCCATCCCTTAGCCGGACCTTGTCTTGGGGTCCCTGTGTCCAGGTAGACGTCCTGAGTCAGACTCTCCCAGTCTAGGCTAAGTCACCATACATGGGGGTGGGAGTGCTCAGGATCTCAGTGGAGCACCTGGAACCCCCCCCCTTACCTTCTTGAGGACCACAAAGTCATTTTCCACTGTGGCGCGCCTGTGGGCCTCCTTCTCGTACCTGCCGGATACACAGAAAAGGGCGCAGCGAAAGGGGCTGAGGTCAGAGCCCACAACCCTGCCCGCAGGGACCTTCCCAGCAAGCACTCCCTGGTCTTCCGATGCTCCAAAGGAGAACACATAATCAGCCCCCTCCTCTTCCTTCCTTTTAGGAAGTTTTTTGTTACCTCCTGGCTCTGTCCCTGTGTCACTCTTTCAGCCCAAGTCCTCTTGGTGACAATAGGCCACATCCCTGCAGTTGGGAAGGCACATCAAATACTCTTTTCACTTGCCCCTCACAGCCACCACCTGAGGCAGGCAGTTTGGACTGTTCATTTTTTTTTTTTCTTTTTTGGAGAGGTTTTTGCTGTAGGGTGCGTGGGCTCACCAGAAAGACAGAGAGAGACAGAGAGACAGAAAGCGAGAAATCACCCCCCAGGGGGGATGGCCACACCACAATCCCTTCTCCTCCATTCTCCTCTCGAGATCTTGGGCATGCACGCACACACGCCCGGCATGAGTTTAAGCCACCAGGTCCAGGACTCAAACCACAGTCAACTACATGGGAGTTCAGCAACATAGCCATTACACCAACTGCTAGTCCCAGGCAGTTTGAATTTTATCGGAGATTCTACCACTTGGCCAAGCTCCCCCGGATTGTCACCCAAGCAGAACAGGTGTCCTGGCCCCACCCTGGGTTCCTTCCTTCTAGGGTCTTCCTGCCTCCACCTCATATCCCCTCTTTCCAGCAGGTAAGAAGAGCAGATGACATGTTCCTGATTTACAAATATGGAAACGGAGGCTGGGAGAGGGGACGTGCCCTCCCCAATACCACACGGCTACCTTTTGTCACTGTCACCTCAACCTAAGGCTCCTGGTTATCCAGGGCTCCCTCCATACCACCAGGTGTCCTAGGTGGGGAGCCCAGAACCACAGCCAAGCTGTGAATCATGCCACAGGCCTGGGGATGGTCCCACGAAATTGATTCCCCTCCACCCCTGAGACCAGAGAACATCTGAGTCACTTTAGGCCACAGCCTGCT